CCATTCTGACATAGAGTGTGTCTTTTAAGGCCTAATTTGACTGTACTGAAATTGTACTCACTGTGACCTGTCTAATGCAATACTTTATTGAAGACATGATTACGGCAGTAACAATCTTTCTTGTAGATTGCCTCGTAATATCTCTACTCTATATTCTACAGCTTCCTTAAAAGATGATTGTGCAGGGAAAGGTTTCACAAAGTCTTTAATTATTGGGGAGGCTCAACAGTTGACAGTCTCTTAAGACATAATGGTATAATTTTCTCCCAGATTCTGTTGCCAATAATCTCCTTTAATCTTCCTTTCATCTCTAGGCCATCCTTAAAAAAATGTTTGTTTGCAGTAACCCAACCCAGAATTTTCAAGGTGGGTAGGTAGGTCGATTTTTTTTTTTTTTTTTTTTTTTTTTTTTTTTATTGAACTGTACTCCCAAATAAACATGGAATTTCAAAATGCTGGACAATTTATGCTTTGATAATCTGGTAACAATTAATAAATAAATTCTAATAAAATAATACATACATTTTATTTCTTCTATTAACCTTTAAAAGAACAAAAACAAAGCACAAGGCATAATTTTCTGATTAAAAAAAAAATTTTTTTTATCCAGACCATGAAAAAAACTTTTGAGTAGGGGCAAATTTTGTGAGTAGGTCGCGTTACTGCAAACAAACATTTTTTTAAGGATGGCCCTATAGGGATAACTTTCTGTTGATTTTCAATATAATATGCAAGCTATAGGGCTTTTAAATCAGATTGTTTAAACTTTTGATATTTAATTTTGTTAGAAGTGACACAATTGTATGGTAAAAGACAACCACAAATTTATCAGAATTACTTCTGAATTTTTTACTTATTTTGTATGTATTAAATTATTGATACTAATATAAAATTATTGTTGAACAAGTGGCACTGAGTAAAAGTGTTTCAAAATATGCCTGATCATTGTAATGAAAACACAATTTTTTTATTTCAGTCCATCAAAAGAGATTTAGAACATACTAAATTTATCTTTATTTTATAGTAACATTTCATTAAAATTATATGCTAAAATTAAAATATATCAAAGTAAATAAAAGATATCAATCGAGCTGAACAAGAAAATATCATTATAACAGTAAATTTTTTTTTGTTTCATTTTCCAAATGTATTACAAATACAATTGTCACATACATTGCAACAATAGTTTTGTGCTGGAAATAATATATTTCAGTAATAAGTTAATTATGAGTTAAGTATAGCTTTAATGGTAACCCTTGAGCGTCAAGTCGGCATTCAAGTACTTATTTCTCTAATTAGAATTTTCATACAATTCTTTGGTCTCAGTTTATTTATATTGTAGCACTGACTTGAATATGACGTTTCTTCCTTTTGTTTATCTTCAAAAGTTCTATCTTTGCAACAATGTATCAAGTGAAACTTCTGATAAATTCATGCTGAATGTCATAACTTTAGGCCTGACCGAGACTTAAATATCTGCTTGGGCCATGTCATGAATTTGTCTGAATTATTCCACTTTTGAAGGCATTACCCATGGATTTTGTTTTCCTATCCAGCTAGGGAAAAGTTAAGTGCATTTTTGTTTATCTATCAAATCAAGTATTGTTTTCATCGTCTGTTGCCCTGTGTGCTCATTGAACTCTGAAACATTTATATATAAAGTACCTGATGCTCTTTTGATATCAAACAAGTGTAATCATGATACAGGACACCTGATATTTATGAAATAACTAATGTATTACATTGATCTTGTTAACCAGGTTTTCAATTTTGAAAATCCTGGTTATTAGATTGGGGTATGGCGGGCGGATGGGCGGCTGGGCGGATGGGCGGGCGGGCGGGCGTCAAACGAAATTGTGTCCGCTCTGTAACTCTTCAACCCTTTGAAGAATTTTGATGAAACTTCAGACAAATGTTTACCACATCAAGATGACGTGCAGAACGCATGTTCCGCATGGCTGGCTCCAAGGTCAAGGTCACAGTGACATTAAACATTGAAAATCCTGTCCGCTCTGTAACTCTTCAACCCTTTGAAGAATTTTGATGAAACTTCAGACAAATGTTTACCACATCAAGATGACGTGCAGAACGCATGTTCCGCATGGCTGGCTCCAAGGTCAAGGTCACAGTGACATTTTTTGATTTATTGGATTAAATTTACGGTAGTAGAAATGCGTATCTGTCGGGGAAAGGAATTTGGTAAGTAGATAACGTGGAAAAAAGCTTTAGGGAACTGGATAAACCCAAGAATATGCGTAATTATAGGGGAATGGGCAACCTGTTGCTGTTGGTACCAGTTTTGAATCAGAACAACATTTTTGAAAACCTGGTTTCGTGGCATTGCCATGTTTCTTGTTGGAAAACAATTGTCAGAAATTCAGTCATAAACAGAGGTAACTTCTGTTTGTAAACAAGGTAACTACTGGTAGTTAAACAAGGTAATATTATACTGCAGCTGATGTGTAATTAATCATTTATTGAGATCTATAATATGATATTACCCTTTAATCACATAAAATATCTGGAAATATAATATGACTCATTTAGTCATTCACTAATGAAATTTATTGATCAGAGTAAACAAGCCAGTGAAATGGTTCAGATGTCTAAAATAATGTATATGATCATGACAAAATATGATATGATAATAGCAATTATTTTAGTCTCAGTGTCCAAGTTACTCATGCCTAAAAATTTAATAGGTTTCAATTTTTTGAAAACTTATTAATGCTTCCGTATTGTTGGTGAACTGAGGCGAATCCAAAATGTTCAGACTTTAAAGGCAGGTATTCAATGAATCTATGCTACACGCTAAAAACCAGAAGACAAATATTTACTGGACCACTTTTAACTTCTGGGGAATATTTTGAATTAACTTTAGAAGGCCATGTTGATACACCATCACCCTGCGCCCTTTAAAGGGCCAAAAAGAATCTTTTAAATAGTACCTTAAAAACCTAGTTTAAACTGGGAGTTTTTAATTTAAAAGTTGAATTTATTCATCAGTATATGAAAATAAGATAATTTACTTGAAACTAAAAATTGTCAATAATTTATCTCTTCTGTGTTCATATAAAAATAGAGACCCATACATCGAATTGAAATGTAACAGTGACCCATATATAGACATATATATTTCCATTCAGCTGTTTTACAGAATATACAAATAAATAAGAATTCAACCAAATCCAACATGTAGTAATTAAAAAGCAATATTTTATGACTACATATCAGTTAATAATAGTTGTTTTGATATCATGGAAGGAAAGCAATTTAATTGATTCTGCAAAGTTAGGTTAAGGAGAAAGTAAGAATGTCTTATTTACATATAAACCAGACATATAAATCTTGTTTCTGCTTCTTTTGTTACAACACTGACTTTTTCTTCCTAGACAATTCATCCATTATTATTATTAAACTACAAACATGAAATGCATTTTTGTGTCGCAAGTTGAAAAGGTGACATAATTATAGGGGTTACTTATGTCGGCGGTGTCCCCTAAGGCTTGTCCGGAGCATAATGCAGTCACTATAATAAGTCAGATTGACTCCAAACTTGGTATGCATGCTTCTTTTAATAAACCAAAGTGCATTGCACAAGAATCATTACTTTGCACTTCTTAATTTTCTAGTTATTGCCCTTTGTTAATTTTCATACTTTAATTTTGTCCGGGTCATTTCTCCTAAACTATAAAAGCTATGAACTTGAAACTTCAAAGGATGATAGATCTTATTAAAGAAGAAGTGCAGTGCACAAGAACTGGTACTCTGCACTTCTTATTTTTTTAGTTATTGCCCTTTGTTAATTTTCATACATTATTTTTGTCCGGGCCATTTCTCATAAACTATAAAAGCTATGGACTTGAAACTTCATAAGATGATAGATCTCATTAAGAAGTGCAGTGCACAAGAACTGGTACTCTGCACTTTTTATTTTTAGAGTAATTGTCCTTTGTTTATTTTCATATTTCATTTTTTGTCTGGGCCATTTCTCCTAAACTATAAAATCTTTGGACATGAAAAGTTCATAGGATGGTAGAGTTCATTGAGATGAAGTGCAGTGTACAAAAATCGGTACTCCATGATTTTGTGAGTTATTGCCCTTTGTTTATTTTCTTACTTTATTTTTATCTCAGCCATTTCACCTAAACTGTAAAAGTTATTGACTTGAATCTTCATAGGATTATAGATCTCATTGAGAAGAAGTGCAGTGCGCAAAAACTGGTACTCTGTATTTCATGATGTATAGAGTTATTGCCCTTTGTTAATTATAATACTTTATATTTGTCTTGGCCAATTTTCCTACACTTTAAAAGCTATTGACTTGAAACTACAGAGTATGATAGATCTCATTGAGAAGAAGTGTCAGTGCACAAGAACTTGTACTCTGCATTTCTTGATTTTTGAGTTATTGTCCTTGGTTTATTTTCTGACCCATATCTGAGTGAGCAATTCACATTCTTGGGTGTTTGTAGTTTACTCTCAGGATAACAGAAGATAGCCACTTTGAATTTACCAGAGCACAGTTTGGCCACCACACTGTTCCTGCAGATAAGCTACCCGAGTACTAGACATAACTACTTGGTGTTTCAGATCCTGGCAGTTTAAGCCCCTTTGAATTCACCAGAGCGCAGTTCTGCCACTGCATCACATAATTATACTAATTCTTTATTATATAATAGAATATGTATAATTTAGTGTTTTGATTTTTATTCCACTCTGAAATCAAAATTAGATTATAGTTATAAAGTGGCATTATAAAACTGACATGATGATACAAGGCAATACTTTAACATAAATAAAAAAAGGAGGTAATTATAATTAACAACATTGACATGTTGTTTTATTGCTGTAAATGTAAAGTAATTGCTTCAAGCTTAAATTCCACTTTGTTATAAAATAGAACAAGAGGATGTTTACAAACAAAAATAAAGACTTGTATTCATTTTAGTTCAATAAAAATCAAAAGTTATTCAAATATTTTGTTATTGATTATACTTAGCAACGATTTCTGTTGGAATGAAAACATTGACTATAGGCGTATTTATCTCCTATACAAATGGGATTAATTAATGGCGTTATCCTATAAGTGCTATTTGGTCAATATTAAAGCGGGGAGCTGGAATAGACCGGTATGTTCACCAGTCTTCGTAACCTCTTCCTAATATAACACAGTAGCTACTGCCACAGTTATAACACTCACAGAGAATATTTCTGATATAGATCATACTGGGATATGATGTTATAACTATATGATCAGTCACTTTCATAAGAGACAAACACAATAAAGCTAGGAATATTTCAATTTCCAATGAAAACGGAAATATGATGTGAGAGATACACAGGGATTTTTCTATATATAGGTTGGAGAATATTTTGTGACAGCTATTAACTCAAGTTGTACAATTCTGTGTGTGGTGTTGCGATTTATTGTTTGTGTTTCTGTAGAAGCAAGATTCTGGAATTAATGTTTCTAAGTTTGTATTTTAGAGGAAGCATAGTTTGTTCCAATATAACATGTAATAGTTTGCATTCACTATATTTAAGAACGAGCAAAGTTTATTGGTTAATTACTAGTAGTAAATGAGTTACTGGAATTTGCAAAATTGCATGTTTTTGTCTCGCATGACTATTTGCTGTTTAGAAATATGCTATAAAGACGTGTTTTTTTGTACTTTTATCTGAGATATTTTACAATCTCATCAAGTGTATTCTTTAGGATTAGAACATCATGTTAGCTGATTATTCCTAATTAATACTATAAGTACTGGATTTTTATTATATCTGTTTCTACAATTCAAATGGATTAGATAAACCTCATTACAGCTACTTATTTAATTGAAATATATAATTTAATGAATTAATATTTAATTATAAATTGGGTTCTTAACATGTTAATTTAGGATTTAGAATAAAACTGCTCATTATAGATACTATACTATAATAGACATTCCGTCACCTATTATATAATTATATAGGTAGTAAAAATACATTGTTTATCAGTTGTTAATAGCACAAGCCTGCTATGATTTGGCCAGGCACCAAGTACAAGAATTTACTTGTTAAAACTCCAGAATTGTTTACAGAATACATAATCAACACTAATTGATGCTTTAACAGGCCATTAGTTTGTTTTCATATTTCAAATCATTAGTTGCCTATTTCAGTAGAATAATAAACTGTACATGATTATCATTTACCTCATTATTATCATCACTGTTTAACATAATTGCATTAAAATCATATTTTGCAATTAAATATAGCTTTAAGGTATTAAAGTAATTTTATTTGTATACAAGTTCTTTTAATTTAATCTAAAGTCTGATAGAAAATTCGTGCCACCTGTTATAAGTAATCTATTAGTTTTAATTACATTTTTTAACTTGGTTACCTGTGGAAAAGTTTCATGTTTCTGTTTCCTTGAACAGTGTATGGTTTACAACAGTTGCACCAAACAACATGTAATGATTACCTGGAGTATTTAAGATATAGAGGATATTGAATGAGTGTAAGTTCAATACTGAATTTATTGCACGAGTTGAATAAAATTATATTATGCGAGCCTCTGGCGGGCATAATATTATTTTATTCAACGAGTGCAATAAATTCAGTAATGAACTTACACGAATTTAATATTCTATTTATCACATACCCAAAATAAAGACAGTTAAAGTGAAATAAGAGTCATTTTTCATCGACGCGCCTATAGTATAACGCTAACATTTAGCGCGTCTTTACACTATGTTTGTATAACGCTAATGACGTCACGTCAAAATATATGCACGGCCGTGCAATACCATATTTACGGAGTCGCAAAATCGGCACGGGTGTGTGATAAAAACCGTTATAATACCAGACCTACTTGAGTTATATTAAAAGTTTAGAGCTTGCAAACTCAATTACAGAAATTCCTCTTTAACTATCTGTTTAATGGACTATCCTAAATGAAAACAAGGGTAAGTCCAATATACTTTACAAGGTTAAGTCAAATATGCTTTACAAAGATAAGTCCAATATACTTTAGTTTAGGGTAAGTCCAATATACTTTACAAGGGCAAGTCCAATATACTGTACAAGGGTTAAAGTCTAATATGCTTTACAAGGGTAAGTCCAATATACATTTCAAGGTTTAAGGCCCAATATACTTAACTAGGTTAAGAACAATTAATTCTGTATCTAAATCATCATTATGAGAGAAGAAGATTTAAGGTACATATACATGTAATCCTTATAATGCTTGCATTTCATCAAAGTCATCAACTTTTCGAAGCTCTTGTTTCCAGACAGTAATTTGTTTTCTGCAAATAGTAAATATTTATCTTTAATTCTGACTGTATTTAAATTCAGAACACTTTAAAGATTATCATCAGACTTCCATCATGCAGGAGAAAACATCATTAGTAAATAAATATTTGTGTTTTCCTTCCTTTGATGCTAAAATCCTTGAGTGAATGTCTAATTATTTATATCTACTTAATTGAATCAATGAGCCTTGCAGCTAAAGCATTGAACAAATACAAGCAATGAATGAGTGGTGTGGGAGGAATTGAAGTGGAAAATGGCTGCTTATTTCAACAAACTATTACTTGGAATAATTACTTTTGAAGCATGCTCCTTAAAGTCAAACATTTTGCTATTTGTCATAATTTTAGTTGATTTGTTTTCTTGAGTGCTCTAAAATTGAAAACAATGTCTTTTTGGTGGGGAAAGGACTGTGGGGGAGCTTTAATTACCACCAGAAAATGACAACAGAAACAATAAAAATCAATTGCAAACACTTTTCTAATTATTTATATCTACTTAATTGAATCAATGAGCCTTGCAGCTAAAGCATTGAACAAATACAAGCAATGAATGAGTGGTGTGGGAGGAATTGAAGTGGAAAATGGCTGCTTATTTCAACAAACTATTACTTGGAATAATTACTTTTGAAGCATGCTCCTTAAAGTCAAACATTTTGCTATTTGTCATAATTTTAGTTGATTTGTTTTCTTGAGTGCTCTAAAATTGAAAACAATGTCTTTTTGGTGGGGAAAGGACTGTGGGGGAGCTTTAATTACCACCAGAAAATGACAACAGAAACAATAAAAATCAATTGCAAACACTTTTCTGATCCTCTTACCTGTAAAACTACCTGCAATTAATTTTATATGATGATGATATTCATGCTTTAAACAATATATATAAAAAAACTCAAAAATGGTATTGAATATAAAAAAATGCCATTTTGATCCAAAATAAGTCACTGTATATACGAGGTATGATAAATAAGTTCTCAGCCCGATATACTTCTAGCCACTACACTGACATTTACACACGATATGGATATCTTATTGAAGATTACTGACCGAGTTACACAAGATGCACACAGTTTTACACAGATAAAGTACACTTTGATTATTAGAGGGGTCTGTCATTTAGACCAAATGGTGAAAGTTGAAATCAGGGCCGTCATTAAGTACCTCTGTAAGAAAGGGATGTCCCCCAAGGAAATCAATCCATGAAGACTTCATGGATACCCTTAGGAAAGAGTCTTCTTCCTATAGCACTGTGAAAAAATGGGCTGATGAATTTAAGAGGGGCAGGGAGAGCAGTGGAGGTGATGAGCAGCCGCCCAGGCCACCAACGATGAAACTGCCGAAGCTGTGCACAATCTGGTCATGTGCGACAGAAGCTGTGACCTTTGAAGCATTGCTAGTGAAGTGGTTCAGTTCAGGCATGCTGACTGATGTCTATGGCATGTCAAAGGTTTCAGCTAGATGGGTTCCCAGACAGTTGACTGACGACCAGAAACGGACCAGGCTTGACATTTCAAAATATCTTTTGTCTCGTTACGAGGATGAACCTGATTTTATCTACTGGATCGTAACTCAGGATGAAACAAATTGGAGTTATAATTGTAATATTCCCCTCTAAATATGAACAACTTACTGTATGTTTGATAAACATTACAATATTCCCCTCCAAATATGAACAACTTACTGTATGTTTGATAAACATTACAATATTCCCCTCCAAATATGAACAACTTACTTTATGTTTGATTAACATTGCAATATTCCCCTCAAAATATGAACAACTTACTTTATGTTTGATTAACATTGCAATATTCCCCTCCTAATATGAACAACTTATTGCATGTTTGATTAACATTGCAATATTTCTCTCCAAATATGAACAACATACTGTATGCTTGATTAACATTGCAATATACCCCTCCAGACATTTCAAGATATCTTTTGTCTCGTTACGAGGATGAACCTGATTTTATCTACTGGATCGTAACTCAGGATGAAACAAATTGGAGTTATCACTTCAATCCAGAATCCAAAAAACAGAGCATGCAGTGGAAGCACCCTGGCTCAACCCCTCCGAAGAAATTCAAGAGGGTGCCATCAGCAGGGAAGATGATGGCTTTAACTTTTTTGGATAGTCAGGGTTGACTATCTTAGTGAGCAAGGTTATACCATGAACGGTACATACTATGCGGAAAAATTGAGAAATCACACGTAAAAGAGGGGCAAACTGACTTAAATTTAAGAGTTCTGCTCCTGCACGACAATGCGCCAGCTCACACATCCCAAGTTGCGATGGCTGCTGCAACTGACTGGGGCTTTGAAATTCTTCCCAATCCCCCATATTCTCCGGACTTGGCCCCCTCTGACTTATACCTGTTTGCAAAACTGAAAACCAAGCTTTGTGGTAGAAGTTTTGGAAGCAATGAAGGTGTCATGGAGGTGGTCAATGAGTTCTTTGAGGACCAAAATAGAGAGTTCTATTTTGAAGGGTTAAACAAGTTGGAGTAAAAGTGCATTGATGTAGAGGGTGATTATATTGAAAAGTAAGATCATTAGTAAAAAGTGGGTTGTCTGACTACCGGAAGTACCTTAGGCCAAGAACTTTTTGATCAATCCTCGTATGTTAAAGGCAAATAACTGTCTAATTGCTTCCACTCAACAAGCTTATATTAACAGTTAAAAAGATTTTTGACAGGATATTAATGGCCATTTATAAATGGTTATAATGAAATATAACCCAAGCCTTATAATTACTACAATTTATATATGGCCATATAACCTGTCAGGAATCTTTATAACAAATTTCAAATACAGTATTGTTTTAAGAGAATAAAAAAGAGAGATTTTTTTCATAAATTGACTGCAGCAGTGTATATAAAACTATATAACTACATTCCCGTCCAAATATGAACAACTTATTGTATGTTTGATTATAATTGTAATATTCCCCTCTAAATATGAACAACTTACTGTATGTTTGATAAACATTACAATATTCCCCTCCAAATATGAACAACTTACTTTATATGTTTGATTAACATTGCAATATTCCCCTCAAATATGAACAACTTACTTTATGTTTGATTAACATTGCAATATTCCCCTCAAAATATGAACAACTTACTTTATGTTTGATTAACATTGCAATATTCCCCTCCTAATATGAACAACTTATTGCATGTTTGATTAACATTGCAATATTTCTCTCCAAATATGAACAACATACTGTATGCTTGATTAACATTGCAATATACCCCTCCAAATATGAACAATTTATTGTATGTTTGATTAACATTGCAATATTTCCCCCACCCCACCCCCCAAATATGAACAACTTATTGTATGTTTGATTAACATTGCAATATTTCCCCCACCCCACCCCCCAAATATGAACAACTTATTGTATGTTTGATTGACATTGCAATGTTCCCCTCCAAACAACTTATTGTATGTTTGATTAACATTGCAATATTCCCCTCCTAATATGAACAACTTACTGTATGTTCTTGTGCAGACTTTGAACACACATGTTTAAGTTAACCTTCATGTAAACCTTCATGTTCCTTAAGAACTTCAGTTAATAATGCTTTAAATATCTCTTCATTTGTCTATGGCCATTCAGATTTCTATCAGTACTGTAACATGCAGACTTAATAAATAATGTTTATATATTATTTTCCTATAATCTTATATTGTTCGCATATTTACTGAAATTACTGTAGAATTTCCTAATTTAGAACTTCATGCATGCTTGCTTTATGTCTTATTTGATTCCTGTCAGGCATGCAACATGCAGGCTTTATGCTTTATGCCTATTATTTGCATGAATACAGTAGAACTTTCCTTGTGTAAGATTGCTAAAGAATTTCAACAAGAATGTGCTATTGTCTGTATGTTTACATAAAAATTATTAAATTATTTTTGGGCAATTATAAATGAGCCGCGTCATGACAAAACCAATATAATGGGTTTGCGACCAGCATGGATCCAGACCAGCCTGCGCATCCGCGCAGTCTGATCAGGATCCATGCTTTCGCTATCAGTTTCTCTACTTGTTATAGGGCTTGTAAGCGAACAGCATGGATCCTGATCAGACTGCGTGGATCCATGCTGGTCGCAAACCCATTATGTTGGCTTTGTCATGGCGCGGCTCATATCTTTATTTCTATAATTTTACCTTAGAATTGCTCTTATATGATCCTCTGAAAACTTAATACATGCATGTTTTATATGTCTAAATATAATTGTTTATGTACACAAGATTCCTTTTCAATGCTTGTAAGTCTACTACATGTATTTTGATTTAAATTTCTCAAACCTATGATCAATCAGCAATGTATTTTATAGCTTAAATTTACTTTATGCAAGACTAATTTCACAGAACATGCATGCTTTGTGTTTGACATTAATACTTGAAACTTAAATGCTAAATGTCTCAATTGTAATGCATCTGAATATGCCTCCACTTAATTCACTGAACATTGTAAATTTCAGGCTTTAATAATCATTTTTTTAGTATGTACAAAATAATGAGAGCTCTGCCTAGCTGTTTATAAACTATATATCTGTTTACTGTGTGATGGCTGGTAGAGCAATATAGTAGTTCAATTATTGATAACATTTCATGTGAAACAGGTGGTGCAGGAGTTCTGTGAGAGGAAAAAAGTGTTCCATTTTTATTTTCATAAAAAAAAGAAACATTGAAGAGGTGTATTATATAGTGAGATATTTTTAAAATATTGGATAATCATGGCAAGTAAAGACACAGGTGAAATTGTGGAAATGAATGATGGACATAGGGAACCTTTGCAGCGTAAAAGTACTGATGCGTATGACAGGAATGCTGATCCAGGGCCCGGATATATTACTGGTGAGTTGTTTCACTTCTGTCTGTCCATCTGTGTGTCTGCATAGGTTATATTTATATAATAATATATTCTAGTGGCCTTGTATGTATCCTTTCAGCTTGTTTCAGAGCTAATATCAAGAGGTTACAAAATATGCTTGTCTGTATTAATTAATTCAGGTCCACAATTTAAGGAATAGGATAATCATTTTCTACAGACTTTATTTAGAAAAAAGAGCAGTTGAAATACTGTGCTGTAAATGTTATCTGGAACTTTGCAAATGTTGTGGGTTCTTCATTAGCTAATCCCCATCCCCAGTACAAACAAACTTTAATACCATTATAGCTTCATGATGCATTATCAGTCACAATAGAGTAGTTGACCTGTTGCACTTATTTTAGAAGCTGCAACTGTAAAAATTTGTTTATAAGGTTTAGTATGTAATAAGCTTGATTGGTATGATGTCCACTCTATGTACTGCCTTTTGTTAAAATGATTTAAAGAAAATTATTTTGATCATATACATATATAATTATTGCTTATCAAGTATGATATACATTGTAGTAGATAAATATTAAAGGCTCCACCTATAGAAATGATATTTGTAATATTTATTTTATGTTCCTCTTTTTTTTGTCTTTAAGAAGCTTCTTTTATATATAGACATTTATTAAAAATTTGTAATGACCATATCTACTGAGTAAGTTATTTCTAGAAATACACTCATGAGAGCTGAAAATGAAAGGGAATAAGACATTTTGAAATACTCATTACTGAAACCAAACTCATTAATGAAACCAAATGAGAATACTGTTTGAAGAATTTACTTGATCTATCAAAGAATGTTATATTTTTGAAGGAATCACATTCAATAATGTTATTAGAATAATGTCATTCATTTGGTAAACCACATGGTGGTATGTATGCCCCTTGATGCCTGCAAGTTAACATGTCTGCAAGATATAATTGAAATTAAACCACTAGCTCTGGAACTGGAAACTTTTAGTTGAAATAGAAGAAATTGTGGTCTTTTTTGCATATTATAAGTTTTGCCATTTGCAGAGTTACTCATATTTTACCATTTGTGAGAAAAATGATTGCCATTTGTGATAAAATTTTGCCACTTGGAATTATGTCATTTGTAATAAAAAAATAATTTTTGCCATTTGCAATTTAGAATTATGCCTTGCACAGTATAGAATATAGTACTTATATGCCATTTGCTATATAGAATCCTACCATTTTGCAATTTATACTTTAACTTAATGCTACATGTATTTGCAATATATAACTTTAATATATACCATTTGCCATTATGCTATTTGCAATATGTAATTAACTACATGTATGTATGCCATTTGCCGTTATTCTATTTGCAATATATATGCCATTTGCTATATAGAATCCTACCATTTGCAATTTATACTTTAACTATGCTACATGTATTTGCAATATATAACTTTATACCATTTGCCATTATGCTATTTGCAATTATGTAATTATTAAAAATAACTACATGTATAATTATGCCATTTGCTGTTATGCTATTTGCAATATATAACTATATGTCATTTTCTATATAGAATCATACTATTTGCAATATATGACTTTATACCATTTGCAATTATGCTGTTTGCAATATGTAACTTTATGTCATTTGCAATATTAAAATTAATTAATAGAGAATTATGTCATTTGCAGAATAGAATTATGCCATTTCTAATATAGTATAATGCTATTTGCAATAAAAGTTTAATAATGGATTATTCATTTAGCAGTAAAGAATTTTCATAAATTTAGTTTGTCAACAGTTACCACCATATAAAGTTTTGCAATTTCCATGATTTTTGCAAATAATTTTTGAAAAATCCTTTTTTACAAAATTAACAAATGTTTCCCATTTAACAAATGAGAACAAATTTCCATTTATCAAAGAAGAAAATTGTAACCATTAACCCTTTCCCCCATGAGCATATTGTGAAAAATGGCCATTTTCACTGAAAAGCCTCCTCTTACAAGTTCAAACTGCTATGAAACTATGAAAAATGCTTCAATACAAATCAAACTTGGCACAAATGTTGACTGGACCATTACCTCTGTAACGACATGCTCAGTCTTAAATTTGCTGTTACCATGGCAACGAGGGGACATCTCAAAATTGCCAAAAATCACTATTTTGCCTCGATTTTTTCCATCAAAATTTATTTCAAAGTGCTGCAACTTCTCAAGGGATTGAGATAGAGTCAAAGGCTTTTCAGCGTTGGTTACACGTTACCTTATGATCGACCTGGGGTCATTTTAAGCCTCTCACAAGTCCAAAATTTTCTTGGCGATGAGGGGGACTCCGCCCCCCCTTCAAACCCCCCAAACGCACATCCCCCTTCTGGCAACACCCTGATGTATCTTTTGGCTGGGTGGCGGCGCCGAAAAAGTGCTCACTTTTTTTAGCAACATTTCTCAAACTAAAACATGTGTTTGGGGCCCAAATAAGACATTTTTTCACTATTTCAGGCCTAAAAAGGGGGGGGGGGCGAAAGTGCGTTGTTTCGCGTATATATGAGGTAAAGGGTTAAGTGGGAAAAATTATTATACTTTATAAGCTCTAATGTAAACAACTTTTAATCATATATAGGCAGAACTGAGAGGGTCAGCAATCTTTTGCATTGTTAGATAAGATGTTTTTGTCTAGACAATAAATATAATGTAATTTTGCCTGTTACATTACAGCCACAAATGTTCAAATTGATGGCAATTTTGTAGTGTTATGGTCGTCTACTGATGAACATAAATACAATGAAAATGTTCCTTTCCTTGGTTAATGTTTATAAGAAACTGAAATTTCTACAACTTCTTTTAGTTCTTCCACTTTGTCTACAGTTACATAATAGAGATATAGGCAGAATAAAAACTTTAAAATAGAATTTTAAAATTTAAACCATGTATGGTCTTAGAATATGATGACAGAAACGATCTTAAAGAAAAAAGATTATTGTGACAATTAACTGTAGCATAATTGTCTTATATACAGTCTTAGTTGCTTTTGGATTGCATTGTGAGTTATTGCCCTTTATTGAAATATGTATAATACATTTGCTGTTAGATAACCTGGCAGCCTTTATACATGTATCATTGCCTTCAAGAAAACAGGATTGTTAAGACATCAGGTTACAATTCTTAATCTTGATAATTGAATTTGATTTCCATACAATCTTGTTTGATTTCTTTGTTGGACTGTGAAAGTTCAGAGAATTAAAAGTTTGGTTATTGGGGAACTGATGATTTTTGTATCTGTGATCCAATTTGCTTCGATTGCTGATGATACAGACTTAAATTAAATGTTCGGGTAATGTTGCTTACTGCACATGTGACTTTCAATTTCTTGCGAGTGTTCCTCATTTCTTTCATATTGCTAGTGATCTTCCTTATACTCTTTTATATTTACATTCTTGAAGTTTGATAAAATGTTAATAAAATATATTTTAAGAATGTTTTTTTTGCACAAGTTTTATATGTTGTTAACATATACATTTACCTATAGAATACCATTTTTTATCTAAATTTGATCCTAAGAATGTCACTTTTTATGCCAATATTATAACATCACTCAGTGTCTGAAAAAGTCCACATTTTTATATTGCATAATGTTTAAGATATATCACTTAAAGAAAACTAATAGTGGATAATGTTAATGTCCCTTAGTTAATGCATACAGTTAATGTTAATATTAAATGCAACTTTTGTATGCTAAAATTGACATTTATTATGTTATAGTGTGGACATTTCCATTAAAGAAATAGAACATTGTACAGCAATGTTAGTTCCAGCCATTATACCAGGTTGAATGTCTTGATTTCCATTTACAGGAAAATATATTGATTCAGATTTCTTTACTTTTCCTCTCAGAGAGTATAATTTAAGACCATTAGATCCCCTAAGTGACCATTTATATTACACTCTGGCAACAGAAACTCTTATGATAAATCATAATGACAAACAGGTCTTGGAACAAATTGTGTTGTTGAGATGATACCTGAGATTTCTTCAAGCAGTTTGATGGCAATGGTGGTGGCATTGGGGATTTGGTGACAGCATAAAGGGGAATTGTGGTGGCATTGGGGATTTGGTGACAGCATAAAGGGGAATTGTGGTGGCATTAATGGAAATGGTGGTGGCATTGGGGAAATGGTGGTGGCACGAAGGGGAATTGTGGTGGCGTTAAGGGAAATGGTGGTGGCATTGGGGAAATGGTGACAATATGAAGGGGAATTGTGGTGGTATTAATGGAAATGGTGGTGGCATGAAGGGAAATTGTGGTGGCATTAAGAAAAAAGGTGATGGCATTAAAGGAAATGGTGGTGGCATTGGGGAAATGGTGACAGCATGAAGGGGAATTGTGGTGGTATTGGGGAAGTGGTGGTGGCATGAAGGGGAATTGTAGTGGCATTAAGGGAAGTGGTGGTGGCATTAAGGGAAATGGTGGTGGCATTAAGGGAAATGGTGGTGGCATTAAGGGAAATGGTGGTGACATTAAGGGAAATGGTGGTGGCATTAAGGGAAATGGTAGTGACATTAAGGGAAATGGTGGTGGCATTAAGGGAAATGGTGGTGTCATTAAGAGAAATGGTGGTGGCATTAAGGGAAATGGTGGTGGCATGAAGGAGAATTGTGGTGGCATTAAGGGAAATGGTGGTGACATTAAGGGAAATGGTGGTGGCATTAAGGGAAATGGTGGTGTCATTAAGGGAAATGGTGGTGGCATTAAGGGAAATGGTGGTGACATTAAGGGAAATGGTGGTGGCATTAAGGGAAATGGTGGTGACATTAAGGGAAATGGTGGTGGCATTTAGGGAAATGGTGGCAGAATGGTGGTGGCTTTATGTGAATTTGTGATAGGAACCTTATGGTGGAGAGGATTGCATTATAATTTGACTTTCAAAGGGATTCAATATTATTGATATATATCTACGTACCTTCTGATAAAATTGGTTAAAACAAGATTAGAAACCAAGACCAACATAGAGTT